TTAATAAGAAATTTCACATTGAGAGAATTCAGCTGCCTTGGCGGAGGTCTGTGCTCCCCGAGTGCTCTAGTTATTTATGTAAGACCTCTCTTAGCATGAACACTGAGTAAATTACCTCTTATTTTAAACATTGCCACTACTGTCCTGTCAGAGAAAAATTCGTTGCTCAGAAACGTCAGATGCTCCTCACAATTTGGAGTAACATAAAGCAGGTGTAATGCAGGCATAGTGTCAATCATACCTGGACTCGTAAGTAGGATTTTGTGTGGTTGTTGTAGGCATCTGAAGCGTAACTGGATGTGGCATAGCGGAGAACCGGACGTTAAGAACAAGGAGAGGGACCAGCTGTTCAGGAGGGAGAGGGCCGAGCAGAGGAAGGCGAGGGAGAGACATGAGAGTGAAGGGCCCGGTGCAGCCTTCATATACACACACGCATTACAGCAAGGTATACCTGGCAGACAACAACCTCGTTCACAGTAACGAATTCGCGTTTTGTTTCCGATGCTGACACATTCCCCGAAAATTATTTATCATTCTAACATTCACAAACCGTCTCAATCTGATATATGCATATCCATGCGATGGTTAAGCCCAATCACTGACAAATGAGCAACCAGCACACCTGGATTGATTGTACAAGGAATCGGATTCAGAGCCTGAGTTGCTTTTCTCTCGCTTTTTTCTTCTTCCATCTTGAATGATGACGTCATTCTAAAGTGTTAATTTGAAATGGGCATCGGTTGTAATGTGTCGCCGCATGTGTTTCATTGGCAGCGGAGAATGGCATGTCTGTTACTGACCCTAGAAGGAGACTGGCCAGGCTTCCCAACACCAGACTTGCTGTCATGAGGCCCGTTAACAAGCAAGGTTATGCTGGTAAGCTGTCTAGCCTAGGCTGAAGAGAGAGAAAGGGAGAAAGGAAGAGATAGAGGGAGAGGAAGAGAGAAGGGTGAACAAATGTGAGGATGGCGAGGGAGTCTATTAGGGAGAGAGAGAGCGAG